ACAACAACAACAACAACAACAACATGCATGTGAAAGTTGGACAACGAACAAGGCAGATCATAGAACTGATGCACTTGAGTTACAGTGTTTGAGAATATTGAAAGTATCACGGACCACCAAAAGAACAAACAAATCTGTGTTGGAAGTGCAGCCAGAATGCTCCTTAGAAATCAGGATGGCCAGATTTGTCTTTCATACTTCAGACACATTATCAAGAGTTATCAGTCCATAGAGAGGGGCATACTTCGTAAAGTAGAGGGCCAACAAAAAAGAGGAAGCCTCCCAATGAGATGGATTGGCACAGTGGCAGCAGGAATAGGCTCAAGAGTAGAAACGATAGTGAGGCTGGCGTAGGACTCTGAAGTGTTTCATTCTGTTGCACATAGGTTGTTATGAGTTGGTACTGACTCAACGACATCTACTACCAACAACGTGTAAGGACAGGGAACAGCAAGTGCAGGCCAGAACAACAAAGGTAGGCTGCTCTTCTCTCCTTTCATGGTATGCCCTATCACAGAGCTACTGGCCACAATCTAATGCACGGCTTCTGACTCAGAAATGTTGCCATCAGTTTAGGAATCTTACTGAAAGGTGTGGTTATCTCAGAGTTGATACCAGCTGATCCATGACACTCCTTTGCTGCTTTCTGCTCCCATTGGGAGATGGCAGGCTTCCCACCTTACACAGCACTCAAGAGGGGTCTGAGGAGGGCTCTAAGAAGTGGGGCCCATCTGGATATCATTTCATATTTCTGTATTGATGTGGGAAAATACTCGTTTTGTGTAACCATCTTGAACGCTATGTAAGTGGCTCCTATTTAAGGAGTCATGTGACAAACTCTTCTCAGAGCATTTCTTGGGAAACGCTCCAGACCTGATTGGCAGTGGAAAGGAAATGGCGTGCACATGCCAGAGTCAACTCCACTCAGATATAGCGTGCAACCCTCTCTTCTCAACCTAGCCAAATTGTACCTACCCTTCAAGTCCCGCCTCAAATCCCCCCTCCTTACTCCAAAGCCAGCTCAGACAGAAGAATCTCTTCTCTCTCTTAATCACAGCAATTACTCCTACAATGGAGCTCACAGTCCTACAGGCTTCTGGTGTTATCGGAAGGGCTCTCTGCCTTTTGTGACAGTTGTGGTGGTGGTGGTGGTTATGTGCTGTGAAGTCTGAACCGACTCATAGCGGCCCTGTACAGGGTTTCCGAGGCTGTAAATCTGAAAGCCTCATCTTCCTCCTGAGGAACAGCTGGTAGTTTCGAACAGCTAACCTTAAGGTTTACAACCCAATTCGTAACCACTACGCTACCAGAGCGCCTTTTTGTGACAGGAGAGAATGCATTTCACTGGGTAACCTGGTAGCTTTGCCAAGTGAACACAGCATAGGAGGCAGAAGTAAGTGCCTTTTCTCCCCTCCCAGAGGGTCAGACCACAAAATGAATACTCACCTTTTTGGTTGCCCATGCGAGAGAGTCTGGCCAGATGAGGAAAACCGGATGACCCTGGGATTCCAACCTGTCCCTGTGGCTGCCCCCTAGCTCTGTCCAGACCTCCATCATCCATCCATCTACCCACCAGGTGCTGACTGCCTGCTTTGGGACTAGAGAGCACATGGGGAGACAGACACACAGACAATCAACAATCCACAGATGTGGTATGCTAGGAATTAAGCCAACGGAGCTACAGGAGGCATGGGAAAACAGCATCTCCAGTGCCTTTCAGGCCCACTGCGTTCTCAGCTGCAGTGAGGAGACGAAGCCAGGCCTCACTGTAACCACCAGAGGCCTGTCTGGCACTATGTGTGCAGCAGTCTGGCAAAGACCTTCGAGCATCAGGCACTTGGAGGAATTTTCTTGCTGCAGATTACAAACCAGAGGCATCACAGAAAATGTTAATCTTTTATTATTTCCAGGAGGTAATACAGAGCCCAATATGCCAAAGCACTAGGGAATTAGAGGTGGCGAAAGGCCAGTCTTTGAGAAGTGCCTCAGCTGCATCTCTGTACCCCAGGGCGCCTGCAGCCCTCAGTGGCTCACAGGGAGGCCAGTGGTGGGGTGCTTGCTGTGACCGAAGCAGTGACCAGACGTCCCAACTTAACAGCCAAGAAGGGTCTCAGTGTGAGGGCAACAGTGGCACTGGCTCCCCTCAGTGGTTGTAGGAGGCCGCAGCAGCAGCAGCCGGCTTGTTGAGTGCTGGCTTTTATTTCTGTGAGCCAGTAGTGGGCAGACTGTGACTAAATCCTAAATCAGAAATTAAGGTGAAAGACTTAGTAGTGTTAGTAGTTTGAGTGAGAAAAGATAATACTGTCTTTGAAGAGCCTGGCCTGGTCACAGGCTGCAGGCACTGCCTTGAGGCCATCAGAGGGGTTTTCATGGCCCATGATAGGGTGGAAGAGGGCGGTGGGCACAGAGCTGAAATAGAAGGTCCTTTTCCACTCATAATTGCTTTCCTGTGTCTGAGTCACCACGCTGGGGTTGAAGCGAATCTGACCCGTGTGCCATGTGGTCTCGGAGAGATGCAGGGCTGTTCTCGGGGCTAAGGAGGAAGGTCTCCAAGCTCACATCGCGCTCCCCTAGTTCCCTTCCCCTGCAAATCAGATCAGAGGAGGAAGAGTTGCAGGGAGTCCAGGTAGCTCCTCGTGGAATCCCACCAGGGTTGTTGTTTTCTGGAGAACTCATATTTCCAGCTCCTGAGAGAGAACCTGGCAGGTGAATTCATGGCGGTGGGCAGGTGGCTCTGGCTGCTGAATCCTCTTCAGAGACATCACTCATTTCAACACAACTGTCCAGGTTAGAGAGCTGGCGGGAGGGGTACTTCCTCTCAGCATGCACTGGTCCCCAACCAGACCCTGGGAAGACCAGAGCTGGGCTTAGATGTCACACGAGCTGATAGATTTTTGGTTTGACAGGTGTGGAAAGAATCAAGAACCCATGCCACCACATTCTCCAAACCCAGAACCAATGGCTTGGTTTGGTTTGACCAGAGTGGTTCTGGCTTGGGTAGCACAGAACACACATCGGATCGGATCAACCTTGGTCTGACTGGGACAGTGGGCAGACACAGAGCTGGGGATCCTGTGTCCTCTAATCCGTGGCAGGCTTTGCTGCTGCCTCCTCCTCATGGTCCTTGAAGATGGGGACTGGCTTTTGTAGAAAATGCATGGTGGCCTGAAACACCTTGTCGGGTCCAATGTTATACACAGGGTGAGTGGGCTGCTGCAAGACGAAGGACAAATGCCAGTTAATTATCCCGGTGGTCCTGGGAAATGCTCCTGTCCTTGAACCCATAAACATTACTTCTAGGAACTGACTCTGTGGAAGCATCAGGATCTACAGAGATCTCTCACACCTGGCTCAAATGTTCAACAGCCTGCTTCAACAGGGTATTTGCAAAAAATATGTATTTTATTACACAAAATACCATGTAATATTATACAAACCATCAAAAAGCATACTTTCAAATACTTTATGATATGGGCAGCTGGTTATTACATACTGACAACAATATCATGCCAAACTTGCTTTTAAAAATGTGCTTATATCTATATGGCAAAGAACTTATTGACTCTAGTTTCTAAAAATAACCTCAGCAATCAAGATAGGCATCTGTTTACAGCCCTACACCTTGCAAACTTCAGGAAGGGGGGGGGGTGTCTAATGGAGGCATGCATATTCACTGATTGGACTGATAATAACTATGCACAAAGGCCCACGGCATGCATATTCACTGAGGTTCCAATGACTAGGAAACCTTGGAGTGCTCTCTTTTGAGGCCCTGTGGTTGGTGAGAACAAGTGTGTACAGGAGAGGGTGTGGCAGGTCCCTAAAACAATGGAATCCTAGTGGTGTCAGGACCTCTCCCAGACCTTGCCTGATGCAGCTCTATAGTTTTGTCTTTTCTGTAGCTGTCATTGAGACTTTCTGATCCCATAAAGATTTACAGCCTCGGAAACCCTATACAAGGTTACTGTGAGTCCGAGCTGACTTTAATGGCACACAACCACCACCAATAAATGGCTAACTGTGTCTCTGTGAGCTCTGTCATTCTAGCCAATGAACACCGAGATTACCAGCAGCAAGGCTGGCGCTGTCCTATTTGGCAGAAGCTAGGAGGGAAGTCCTAACTTGTGGAGACTCAACTCTGGGTGGTGAGGTCAGAGAAAGTGGAACGTGGTGGCTGGTGTCAGGATGATGAAGTGGAGAGGGGCTAATCGTCACATTGTGGAAATTAGCCTCATGTTGGCTATTACGCATACGATCTATGTAATGTATTGTTGCTAAGTGTCCTTGAGTTGGTTCCGACTTATTAACAGGCCTGTATAGCGTTTCCAAGGAGCTGCTGGTGAGTTTGAACTGCTGACCTTGTGATCTAGTACTTATCCTACAACACCACACCAGGACTCCATGTAAATACATTAAAATAGTGGTAGTGATGTGGGACTATTTTTAATTTTCTTATTTATACATGTGTGTATGTGTTCCAATGATTAAAACAATTAAGATCTATTAACATTTATAATCCAGAAAAAGGGCCAAAACCCTACTATGCAAAAAGGGTGTTAGCCACTTCATTACAGAAACCCAAAGGAAACTTTAGGTCTAAGGCAAAGTATACTCCTCAGCCCATCTGACAGAGAACAGAGGGCATCATTATAAGATAGAATTCTAAAATCATAAGAGAATAATAAATACTAAAAGCAATTTCATGACAAACTTAACAAAAATTCAGTAAACTATTATTGAACAATGTAAGTTGTCAAAATTGGCTCAAGACGGAGATTTTTAAAACCTATGTTGTTGCTGTTGTAATGTGCCGTGGAGTCGGTTCTGACTCATGGCGACCCTGGTACAGGGTTTCCAAAGCTGTAAATCTTTACGGGAGCAGAAAGCCTCGTTTTTCTCCCATGGAATAGCTGGTAGTTTCAAACTACTGACCCTGAGGTTCGCAGCCTGATTCGTAACCACTTCGCTACCAGAGCCCCTTTAAAACCTATAGGTGTAAGTTAAATCAATAATTATTCTGTCCATGACCATTTTACCCCATTTCCCACCCCCACAAAAAGATATCAGACCTTGATGGTTTTTCAGGTTAAGTGTTACCAAGATCATCTCTAACCTATCCAAACTGAAAAAAAAGTTAAAAATGAGGGTGGGGCAGCTACCCCTCTCACTGTATTAGGCTGCATCACCTTAGAACTAACACAACTGTTCATGACCATCTGATCACTGCAGCTGCTTGTCTCAGGCTCATCAGATGCACCCATCAAAAGGGGACAAATGAGGCCCTGGGACAGAACCCCGGGCCAGTGACAGCCATTGAAGGTGCCTGGTGTGGCTTCTCTTGAGGAGACAGCACTAAGCTCAAGACTCAAGGAGGAAGGCCAGCACCCCATGTTGTGTGGCTGCTGATGCTCTGATGGGCCTACGGGGACTCACTGCCTCTGAGAACCAAGTGCCTGTGGCCTCCTCACGGGACCTTTATAAGGGTAGATCCTAGACTCCAAAATGAAGGCACAAAATCTCTTTCACCAATTGGCACTAGCTTGGAACTCCTCCACAGTCACAATATAGGGAGTGGGCTGCAAATGAGAAACGGGCAGGGATATGTGCAAGCTGACCAGCCTGTCCACTGGGTCCCACAGACTAACAATGGCTGTGCTGCCGCCTAGGTCGGGCCCTGTGCAGGAGGGGTGCTGAGCCCCCCACCCCATCTTACCAGAGCATTCTCAGGCACACCCATGACCACATCATGCAGCATGGCTCCACTGCCAAAGTGCTGGGCTATGGACAAGCCGCTCAAGCAGTAGCAGGTGTGGTAGAAGTCACGTGACCTGCAAAGACAAGACGGTTCTGAACAGGAGTCCCTCTGCCGCTGAGCGGAGCAAAGTGCAGCCTCAGACACTATAGAGGCCCCGATGCCCTGCCTGGCTGGAGGGAACAGACCACCCCCTCACCCTCAAGCAGTTGTTTTTCCAACCCATCCTTTAGCCCTGCCCCAAAACAGGTTGGAAACAAAGAAGCAGGATCAGTAGTTGGAAAATATGACCTTGGAGACAGAAAAGATGCTGAACATCGTATGACAGAATTTTACAAGACCAATGATATATTCACTGCAAATACCTTTTTTCTAACAACATAAAAGGTGACTATACACATGGACCTTACCAGATGAAATACACAAGAATCAAACTGACTACATCTGTGGGAAGAGACCATGGAAAAGTTCAGTATCATCAGCCAAAACAAGGCCAGAGCCAACGGGGAACAGACCATCAATTGCTCATCTGCAAATTCAGGCTGAAGCTGAAAAATTAAAACAAGTCCACTAGAGCCAAATGATGACCTTGAACATAACCTACCTGAATTTAAAGATCATCTCAACAACAGATTTGATGCATTAGACACTAGTGACTGAAGTCCAGAAGAGTTGTGGCTGGCATCAAGAATATCATAGAGGAAGAAAGCAAAAGGTCATTTAGACAAGAAAGAAGGAAAAGACCAAAACAGATGCCAGAAGAGACCCTGAAATTTGCTCTCCAGCAATAGAGAAGCTAAAGTGAATGGAAGAAATGAGGAGGTACAAGAACTGAATAGAAAATTTCAAAGGGCAGCTGGAGAAGACAAAGTGAAATGTGCAAAGACCTGAAGTTAGAAGAGCAAAGGGGAAGAACATACTCAGCATTTCTCAAGCTGAAAGAATTGAAGGAAAAAAACTCAAGCCTTGACTTGAAATAAGTATTCTATGAGCAAAATACTGAATGATGTAGGAAACCTCAAAAGAAGATACAAGGAATACACAGTCACTGTAGCATTCCAGGAGGTACTGAATGATTAAGAACCGGTGATACTGAAGGAAGAAGCCTAAGCAGCACTGAAGCCACTGGTGTAAAACAAGGTTCCAGGAACTGACAGAACACAAATGAAATCTCTCAACAAACTGATGGAAGCACTCCCACACCTAGGCCAAGAAATTTGGAAGACAGCTACCTGGACAACTAATTGGAAGAGATCTATATTTGTGTCCATTCCAAAAAAGGTGACCCAGTGGAAGGTGGAAATCACTGAACAGTATTATATCACATGCAAGTAAATATTTGCTGTAGGTAATAAAACAAAAAATGGCTACAATAGTACATCAACACAGAAACACCAGAAAGGTATTTGGTGGAGGTGGTGGTGTGCTGTGGAATTGGTTCAGTTTCTCAGCGACCTTGCGTAGAGTTTCTGAGGCTGTAAATCTTTACAGAAGCAGAAAGTCTCATCTTTCTCCAGCAAAATGGCTTATAGTTTCATAGTTTCGAGCTGCTGACCTTGAGGTCAGCAGCCCAACTTGTAACCACTATGCAACCAGACCATGATAAACTATGGACAACATTGCGAAAAATGGAGTATTCCAGAACACTTGATTGTGCTTATGTATGAAGAACCTGTACATAGATCAAAAGGCAGTCATTTGAACAGAACCAGGGGATACTGACTGGTTTAAAATTAGGAAGTGTGTCCCAGGATTGTGTTCTTTCACCATATTTATTCAATCTGAACACTGAGTAAATAATCTGAGAAGCTGGATTATATGAAGAATGTGGCATCAAGATTGGAGGAAGACTCATTAGCAATCTGTGATATATAGATGATACAACCTTGCTTGCTGGAAGCGAAGAAGACTTAAAATACTTACTAATGAAGATCAAAGACCGCAACGTAGTCTTTTGTTTTCTCTACGCTGCACCTCAATGTAGAGAAAACAAAGATCCTCACAATTGGACCAATAAATAACATCATGATAAATAGAGAAAATACTGAAGCTTTCAAAGACTAATTTGCTTGGGTCCACCATCAACACTCATTGAAGTTGTAGTCAAGAAATCAAATGACGTACTGTATTAGGCAAATCTGTTGCATGAGACCTTCTTAAAGCGTTGAAGAATACAGATATCAGTCTGAGGGCTGAGGTGTGCCTGACTCATGCCATAGTATTTTCAATCTTCTCATATGCCATGAGAAAGTTGGACAACAAAGCATTTATGCATCTGAACTATGGTGCTGGAGAAGAAAGTACCATGGACTACCAGAAGAACGAACAAATCTGTGTTGGGAGAAGTACAATCAAAATGTTCTGTACAAGCCAGGATGGTGAGACTTTGTCTCTTACACTTTGGACATGTATAAGAGGAGGAACCAGTCCCTGAAGAAGACATCATGCTTGGTAAATTGGAGGGTCAGTGAAAAAGAAGAGCTCCAAGGAGATGGACTGGTACAGTGGATGCAGCAATAGACTCAAAGATACCAACAACTAGAAGGAAGGCGCAGTGTTTCATTCTGTTGTGCATAGGGCGGTTACGAGTCAGAACTGACTCGATGGCACCTAACAACAAGAACATTCAGCGGTGTCTTTCCCTGGATGCCCAGAGCAGGAAGGATGTAGTGGTGCTTTGATTTTTCCCTTGCTTTTTAAATCATGGCACACAAAGACATCTGCTATTTTACGGTAGTCATTTAATTGAGTCTGTAACGACTGTCATGATTACGGCCGCCATTCAATGGCTTCCACCTTCCCAACCCTCCCGCAGAGAAGGCACTCACTTGCCGGGTTTATCCAGAAGCCCCCCAGTGGGGCACTGGCAGCACATAAGGATGTACTCCTGCAGGGCCTGCTGATGAAACATCCAGTGGCTCATACTGAGGGCAGGGTCGCCTGTGGGAAGCAAAGATAGTCAGGGTCTGGAGGAAGGAAGCAGATGGAAGTCCAGCAAAGTACCAACACCTTGTGCATCTCTAATTACCTGATGGAACCTGTCTCCTACTGTTCTTGAAAATCACAGTCAAGACATGACGGTAACACCACACGGCCCTTCTCCTGAACTGTGGCAAGAATCCAAGGGCAGCAGTTCAAAGTGGTGCTTTCACTTTCCTTGATGAGCACCCCATCTCCAGCAGGCAGTGAACTAGCCGCTTAGCTTAGCTCTCCAGTAGGGCCTGTGTCTCTGTTCCTGAACTTGGTCTAGGATGCTTCACTTTGGGCTTAAGACATTTCCTCTAGACAAGCTTGGCAACTTGCTAGCCACACCATGAGGACACGTAACAGGGATAATAAAGGCATTTCTTCTAATTGTCTAAGCCTCAACTTAGTCTCTCTTGAAACAGAATTCTCCAACTTTTCTTTAGGATTAAGAAGTTTTTCTAAGAAGCATTACTAGTAACTGCCCTCTTGCATCATATGAAGGAACTTCAGAAAGTTTGAGGAAGAATGATAATAAAAGAAAATGGAATTTTTCCACGAACTTTTTGAAGTCCCTGTGTATGACACAGCATTGCTGTTGTTAGTTGCTACAGCGCCGCCTCTGAACCCTATGACGTGAACTCTAACAGGATGAAATACTGCCTGGGCCGGTGCTGTCTTCATGACCATAGGTAAAACTACCCACCTGCCTGTCCTCTCTCACATGCTTGTGGTTTACGTGCTGCTGTATACATAGAGAGTCGTGGTATGGCACTACAGGATAAGCACTAGACTGCTAACCACAAGGTTGGATGTTCAAACTATGTCTGTTTATATTGTTAAGTGTCATCGAGTCAGTTCTGACCCATAGCAACCCTGTATAGGGTTTCCGAGGAGTGGCTGGTGAAGTTGAACTGCCAACCTTGTGGTTCAAACCAACCTTGCAGTCCAGCACATTAACCCACAGCGCCACACCAGGATTCCTAAAGATTATGGCTATGGAAACCCTATGGGGCAGTTCTACTCTGTCCTAAAGGGTCACTATGATTCAGAATTAACTCGACAGCAATGCGTGTATTTCATTAGGTGAACATACAAGGGAACAGAATCATAATAGGCATCAAGCAAAAATATTAGACATGAGTATCTAATCATATATGTTGTTAAGTGCTGTTGAGTGGATTCCTACTCATAATATTACCGAGGTACTATATTTATAAACAGTTAGAGTAAGTACAGTATTTAAAGACATATTTCATTATAGAATATTTCAAACATGGAAAACTACAGAAATTTCCTAAAGAAAGAGAAGACAGCAGGGCTTTGAACTAGTTCTTTCTGGCTCAGTCATGGCCAATGAAGTGAAACTGGAGCTGACCTCAAATTGTGAAATGATAGTGTACCGAAATAATAACTGGTCGATGCCCTGCTAGAAAGTAAATCTCCCTCTTAGAAAACAAGGGCAGTGTGCACAGCAACCATATTTCTTGAACAACAGAGTCAGAAATAATGATGCTCAGCTCAAGGATGACACTGACCATGCTACTTTGAAAGGGCTCTTTACACCTTCTACCAAGTCTCCCGTTCCAGTGATTCAACCCGTAATTTCTACCGTTCTGGTTACTGTTATGACATACATACGTCACATAAACGCAGGTCTATTCTGAATGTGCTGTATCTGCCATGACCAACCCTGGTCAAACCAGTCCAAGGCCTGGAAGGAAGTGAAGGTTATTTGCTGGATTAGTACTACATGAGGCACAGCAGTTGGCTGGCATTTGGGGCCACCACCTGCATACTCATTCATCTTTAATATCTGAATCCCATGACCCAGTGAAATGTTCACACAAGAACTGAGACCAAATGAAGGAAGAGCACATCAAGTCTCCCATCTCATGTTCACTCTAGGGTGCATGCTCATTAACGCACTTGTACTGTTTCCATTAGGGTAGTGGGTTACACATTAGGCTGCTCTTCAGAGGTCAGCAGTTTGCACTGCAACACGCACAAGACAGATGATGCTTTCTGCATCTGTAAAGACTTACAGCCTCAGAAACCCTATACACAGTCGCAATGAGTCAGAATTGATTAGACGGCACACCTTCATCACACTATTTTCATTACTTTATTCTCTTTTATCTTTTTATCTTCTACTTGTAAGCACAAGTGACTTTGTAGAAGATACATACATCGATAGATATGATCAGGTTTCATTCTATCTTTTCTTACTTATTACCAAGGTTGTTTCCAGTTCTTTGCAATGATAAGAAATAATGAAATGAACATCTTTGTGAATATTCTCTATGCTTAGGATTATTTTCTTCAAATAGATTTACAGGAGTGGAATTATTCAGTTAACGGTAATAAATTATTTTTAAACCTTTTAGGAGATGCTGACAAACTGTTTTGCAAAATAGCTTTTAAAAACTTATATGTTGTTGTTAAGTGGCATTGAGTCAGTTCCAACTCATACCAACACTGTATAGGATTTCCAAGGTATGGCTGGTGAGTTTGAACTGCCGACTTTGTGGTTCAAACTGACCTTGTGGTCCAGCACTTTATCCCACAGTGCCACACTGCCAGCTTGTGTCACTGAAAAATACAGTTATCAGTGACTGAAATGCAAATCTGTGGTTACCAATGAGGTGCTATTTTCCCAAAAGGTTTTACCAAGTTCATTTCCTTTTGAGATGAATCTATTCGCTCACTGTCTTCTGAGATCCATTAGTCAATGTCATTAATCAGGCTTTTTATATTTGCCCTTTATCTGCAAACTATGGTGCACATATTTTTCTGTGTTTACTTTGTTTGGGTTTTTTCACCTTTTGCCTTGGTTAAATTTTTGTTTGACTGTTTTAATGGCATGAAATTTTAAACTGATGCTGCAATCAAACTACTGATTTTTTCTTGTGACTTCTCTTACAAAAAGTGTATTTATTTAATGGACCTGGGCTTTCCTGTGGGGGGCGGTGGTGGTGGTGAGAAAAATGTTCTAAAATTGATTTTGACAATAGTTGCACAGTTCTGTGAATATACCAACCAACTCCCCCGCCCCCCCCAAAAAAACTGTACACTTTAAATGGGTGCATTGTATGGTATGCCAACTATCTCTTAAGAAAAGTGTTATTTTAATAAAAAGGATATTCGTTAAACTTGAGGATAACTGCATTAAAAAACTGTTATCACATACATATTTTTTTTCTATTCTGTAACAAACAAAAGACTACCGTTATAACAGAAATAATAACCTGTGGCTAAAATTAGAATCTGGAAAGAAAATGATATTTTTTACTATGACAAAGATTACAGTATTCCAGTTACCTCCCACATTAATGGGACTTAAAAATTCAAAAACTACACAAGGATCTTGCAGAGATCCCGAATCTGCACATCAGAACTCATCATCAGAGTAAAATGAATGAAGATAAGATGACGGGACAACTATACTAGAATCCCGCACTCCCTTAAATCAGAGATCCCCATAGTAATGTTACATTGCATGTCAAGGGTACCGATTAACTAAGAAATATCTTAGCTAATATCAATTATTAAAAGTCTTTCCAAACAGTAACTGACAGGTGTAGATCAACTGCACAGGCGAAGACACACAGGCTAAGGATATGCGTCATAAACGCACAAGAAGCTGATTACTGTCAACGGAAACGGAATCCCACAGGCTCACTGCCTCCTCATTCCTCCGCAAAAAGGAAATAACCCACTGATTAAACAGCCTTTGACGTTTCTGAGATATTAGTAATAATTCATTCTTCCTGGCAACTACTGTCTTCCCTCTACGTGTGCAAGACAATCATCAATAAGGAACTCTTGGTAGTTCTTTTTTTTCAGTTTGCAGAGGATGACCTGGAATCAAGTTCTACACTGTGTCCATCTTTATTTCAGTTAGCAATATGAGCATAGCCTTTAAAAAATACGTATTTGTTAATTCACTAAAAATAAAATTAACATGGTTTAAAAAAACATACCAAAGTACAGAAGGCTATAAAGTCGAAGGTAAGCGCTCTTCCTCTCCCAAAGGCCTCCTTGTGTACGTTTCCAAGGAAAGTTTTATGCCTGCAGTCCTGCAGTGTGTGCACACAGCGATGCATGCGCTTGTTCTCCACACTGCTTTGGTGGTTGTTAAGTGCTGCCAAGTCGGTTCAGCTCATAAAGACTCATGTATAACAGAACAAAACGTTCCCAGGTCCTGCAGCATCTTCACAATGGTGATTTCTGAGTCCACTGTGGTAGCCAGTGTGACTGTCCACCTTGCACCTTGTTGAGGATCTTCCTCTTTTTTGATGACCCTCAACCAAGCATGAGGTCCTTTTCCAGGGACTGGTCTTTCCTGATCAATGTCCAAAAATGTAACATGACATCTAGCCATCCTCACTTCTAAGAAGTCTGGCTGGACTTCTTCCAAACAGACTTGTTTCTTCTTCTGTCCACAGTATATTCCATATTATTCTCCAAAACACAACTCAAAGGCATCAATTCTCCTTTGGACTTCCTTATTCACTATCCAGCTTTCACATGCCCTTGAGGGGACTGATTTAGATCACATACATGCAAGCTTCTGGCCTGGCCTATCATAAGTAAACACTTGTAATCTGGATAGTTTTCCATGTCAACCCATAAAGATCTGCAATTGTATGGATGGATCATAACTTACTGAACTTTTAACCTTTTGACAAGCACTTAGGTTGTCTGCTATTGTAACATCACTTCAAGGTGCATCTTTGTTAACAGATCTGCAGGTAATCCCAAACTGCACCTTCGCTAGGTTTAAAGGCTAAGTTCCATTATAATCTAAACTGATGTCTCCACATTGCCCTCCAAAGAAAGGACACTCCAATTTACACCCCCAGTAACAACGCAGAAGGGCCTGCTTTCCCACAGTCTCCCCAAGACAGCCTGCTATTAGTAAGTTTTTAAATCTCTGCCATTCTGGTACGAGAAAGAAACATGAATAGTGCCCCACTGTTCGGACTTGCATGTCTCTAACTTCAAGTGAGCTGAACATCTTTGGGTTCGATTAGTGGCCATCTGCAGTGGTTCTGATGCCAACCACCCACTAACTGGTGTAGGTGGCAACCAGGTGTGGTACGTGAGGTGTCACTTCACCTTCCTGTACTCTGTGGGGCAATCAATCATACGCACTTCATGGGATTGTTCTGAACATCAGATGAGGAGAACAAATGTCACATGCTTAGTACAGTCTCTGGGACACGATGAGCCCTAAGTCTCGGTGGTCAGGCGTGGCAGCAGTCATAGCAGACACAGTACTAACCAAACATTACTAGGAATAACTGTAACGCTAGCTTTCATGAGACCTGTCCAGATTCTTGGCCTGTATTTCCATTGGCTATTCATCCTTTTCATAGAGGTTTGAATTAATTTTCTTCTTTAATCAAAGAAATTAGTCTTTCATCATAGGATACAAATACTCTTTATTTATAAGACTTCCCCCTTCTTTTAAAAAATACTTCTCTTGTTTTTCTTTACCCAAGAAATAGATGTTATCGGTATAAAAATTAAAGACAGAAAACAAAAAAAATAAGGGAAAGCAACATCACCTGCAATTCCACGCCCAGACACTTTCTGTTAATGTTTGGTGTCGACTGTTCCCTAAATATGGGATTGACTGTGCACACACTGCTTTGAAATCGAACCTTGATTATTCATGAACTGTGAATGCCTTTCTATAATGCCACGTCCTTGGACTCCCAAAGTCAGTATTTTGTCCACTGCTCAAAGCACTTCCCTTTGATCCAGACCTGTCTGTCCCAAGTTCAGCAATTTTAAGAAGGGGGTAAGCTCCCCTGCAGGCTTCACAAAAGGGTGCTCTCCCAGACAATGGAAAACTCTAGAAGCCCGAGAGTCCATAGGGTGCTCTGAGAGAGACTAGTTTTCTAGAGCTGCTGCTACAATGCCAACCAGCAGCCTCCTTGCAGATGAGGACAGGTGGCTCTGCTGTTAGCGTGCTCTCCAGATTTTCCTGCCAGGGGCAGAAGTACCACTCTTAGCCTTCCCAGGGGACAGGTAAGTAAAATAAAAGGTTGTCAGTTCTACCAGGTGCTCAACCTCACCAGTTCCAAATAAAGAGATGACCCAAACTCCAAGTTATTTTCAGGGAACTGTTAAGTGGTCAAAGTGGATACTAGGCAGGCTCCCAAGTTGGGACAATTCTGAGATTAAGCCCAGTGGCCCAGAGCCTGCACTCAGACTGACTGGGTGGGAGCAATCTCACTCAGGGCAGACCCAGGAAGAGTCAAAAGTGGCCACAACTCCAGAACCCAAAGGCAATTAAGGAACTCAAGAAATAGGTTAGGAGCAGCCAAACAAGAAAAGGGGGAGCAGGGGAAGTAAAAAAGAGCCTCATCTTTTAGACTCAAACAGTCAGTCGTGTGTCGTCCCCCATCCCCTCCCCCACTGGCCAGCCATGGATTCGTCTCTCTCACTGGCTTCCTCAGAGACACCGTGTTCTCACACAAAATGAATGACAAACATGAACCAAGAGTTAGCAGGCAGCCTGAGGTTTTGAGAGCTAATAGGAAGTGTCCCCATAATTTTTGCTTCTACATATGAGTACTATGTATTTGATTGGAAATGGTTCTGCAACACCCAAGAAGACTCCGCAGAGATGGTGGAGTTCCCCACTCCTGAGGTGAGGACAGAACAAACCTGTACTTGGCACTGTTCAGTGACTTTAAAGTTGGGAGTTGGCTCACAGCCAGTGCGGTGGCGGGCACCATGGGGCCCTGAACAGGAGTGGGCTGGCCCCTTCCAACAGCACAGAAGCAGTAACACTTCTAGGGGAACTCGTTCCTGGCACAGGAAGAGTGGTGGCTCCCACGGGTGACCCGGGTTCAATGCCCCTCCAGTGCACTTCAAGCACGTCCACTCCCCATCTGTCAGTGATATGACACTGAACGGGTAGACAAAGATCAAGAAGGAAGAAAGGCCTGGTGATTAACTTCTGAAACAATGTTCCCATTCATAACCAATCACAACACAGGACTGGGCACAGCATTTAATTCTGTTGTGCATGGGGCCCCCTGAGCAACTGAAAACAACTTCTGGCTGCCAGTGTGAAGCAGCAACAGACCCTAGCCCCCAAATCAATGGGGACTAAATCCTATTCTGCATATGCATGGCTCTAGGCAGGAAGTTCCAAGCTAGCAAGGTATTCAAACATCAGGACAGCTAGACCTTGTTTCAAACTCTAATAAATACTCTGGCTTCCAGATTTGGTTAGCTGCCCAGGGAAGAAATCTGGCCCTTGATGACAGCCCCCTGGACTCACCTTGGGCGTGCAGCGCTCGATGGAGCAGTGGCAGAAGCCCGGCTTGCCAGAAGGAGTAGCAGCCATCCACCAGCTTGTTGCAGCGGCCCTGAAATCCACCTTCAAACCTCATCTGCCGGCTTGTCACCCATTGCTGCGGAGGAGACACGGAGAGGAGAGGTGGCTGTGGGCTGAATGAGGCATAAAGCCAACAAGACAAGATCTGAGGGTGCAAGGGAAGTTTCCCATCTCCTGGCTTACTGGCACTTGAGTTTGGTACTCTGGCTTTCTTACCTTCCTTTCTCGCTGCCATGAAAGATAGCATGGAAAATTTAACTAGCACTGGTCTTGGCTCAGCCCTCCTGTTCCAGATCTCTAGATCTCCCTGGCAGTTGAAGAATGACTGCACTCTTATCCCTACCCAGAGCAGGGTCAGTATCTAATGGACAGTGAATGAATTACCTTTTCCCAGGTTCCATACTGGTGCTGGGACAGAGATAAAGAGGCCAGATTAGCTAGCTTGCAAGTAGAACTGCAAAAATCTCTTAATAAGCAACTAGAAAATTAAAGGCAAACCACCAGTTTCTAACCACTACTTTTTAAGCTCAGGGTATTTTATTAAAAGGAGAATGGCGTCTTATACTACATCTCATCAGATGATCTCAAACTGTTCCTGTGTGGTTAGCTGACCATCAGGGTCTCTTAGCAAGCTTTGAGCAGACCTGGGTACAGAAGCCATCAGTCCTGACAACCAAGTGATGGCTCTGCCCCGCTTAGGTGTGTGGCTTCTCTAGCAGAAGCTGGTTGACTGAAGTGAGAACACCTTTGGCTGCAAAGTTACCGAGTGGCTCTTGGTGTTACCCAGTGGTTCCATATGATAGCACCAGTCCACACTTATCTCCACATTTCCTAAACACACTACACTACTAAGATCAAGACAGTCATGGGGTTCGCCTCCAGGAATGACAGGACCAACTGGCTGAGCAGATAATGACACTTACACTTCCCCCCGTGCCCTCCAAGACAGGTCCTGCCACCAGCCACTGACTTGCAGAACTACCTTCCTGAACTGAAGGGGACAGAATGGGGCATTTCCTCTGCACCTAGATGCTTCCTGGATTGGGTTCCTTAAAGCAGTCACTGGAGATGTTTATGGGAGGGAGGTTCAACTCTTCCTTAAATTAATACTTGCAGAGCTCCAGGCAAAACCCACCCATCTCACATTCCCCAATTCTAAAAGACAGACATGTTCATGCAATGCAGATTCAGGCACGTCTGTCTTAAAGGACCAGTGCATGAGGGATGCTGCAGTTAATGCAAGTGGGTGAAGTGCTACTCAACCAAGGAAAAAATGGGCACTACAGGGTGTGGGCAGGGCTGCCCATTCTTCAGGCAAGCTGCGGGGTGCCCATCTTACCCCACAGTTTAACTGTTTTGAAGCTAGACTAATTTATTTTTTCCAGTCCATGATCCCAAGGGTTTGTTCTATACCCCTTGGTATTTGAATCTAAAAAGACTCAGAAAACATCCCAGAGCAAACAGAAGGGAGCAGCAGCTCGGGTGAGAGGAAGACTAACCTTTACTGAGTACCTGCTATCTACCACGCTGTTTATAAAGGTTCTTCCATGTAATCTCCAGAGAAAAAGGCATTGTTACTCTTACTTTATAGAAGGAAAACAATGGAAGCTCAAAGACTAGACAGTTTGCCCAAGGTCACAAAGGCAGGAAGAGGCAGAGGCAGAGCGCAACTCTAGAATATTGCTATTAGAACTTGTTGCTGAGTATTGTTGAGTTGGTTCTCACTAAGACCCTGTGTAAGGTTTCCAGGGAGCACCTGGTAGGTTTGAACCCAACCTTGTGGTTAGCAGTCCAATGCTTATCCTACAGTGCTACAACTTCTTGTTGGCTGCTGTCGAAGCAGCTGCAACTCACAGAGACCCTCCGCACAACGGGACTGGACCACTGGGATCCACAGGCCAATTTTTAGGAACAGATTGCTGGACTTTCCTGCTTAGTCCATCGCAGTCTGGAAGCTCGGCAGAAACCTTGTTTCGGCATCATAACAATACACAGGCCTCCACAAAGACAAGTGGCGGCTGCATATGAGGTGCATTCAAACCTGGAAGGTGAAAACCCAACCACTGAAGAACTCTTCTTATCAAGGATCAAGTCTGTCTCCTCAGCACACTGGGCTGATAGGGACAGGCAACTTAGACACAGACTATCAAAAATGGGGGTTATGAAAGTACAAGGAGTCCTGGTGGGGCACTGTGGGTCAATGCACCAGACTGCAAATCCATCGGAACTGCAAGGTCGGCGGTTCAAGCTCACCAGCTACTCCTCAAAAACCCTACAGAGGTTCACTATGGGTCAGAATTGACTCGATGGCACTTATCAACAATAAAGGTACAAAGTGGCTGGCTCACAAGCTTTCATGAGTGTGCTTAGTTTCATGATGAGGGGATACGGTAGAATCCCCACTAAATAATTTCACTCATTTCTACATGGGTTTGGTGGAAGGGAATGAGGGAGGATGATGATAGGATTTCATGATTCTATTTCGAGTACACGTTATCAGGACTAAATGTACTTGTCACAACTGTAAATGTACAAAAAGTATAACTAAAAGGAGGGAGTAGCTAATCTTCCATTTCAGAAACAAAGGCACCCTAGAACCATCAAGAGGGATCATCAAGTTTGATGGAGTGTGGGATCCTAACCAGAAAAGCAGCAACAGCAGAGACAGTGGCAGAGGCGATGGCACAGAGAGCAGCTGAGGGCTCTAGGCTGTGGGTCTGCGGGCAAGAGGCTGGCTTGCAAAATGTGCCCTCGGGACATTTAAATGAGTATGTATTTTCTGTTTTGCAATGTACATGAAAATAATTTAAAAGAAGATATAGAGGCAAATACTGTTGACTGATGGTGGTGCATGAAGGGGATTGCAGTCACTGCAATGAAACAAAGTATGCTTTGTTGAATGCAAAACTGACAATCTGTCCTGTAAACTTTCACTCAATTCACAATAAAAATTAAAAACAAAAAAAACTGAGCCATCACTGCCCTCTCTGAAATTCATAGAGCTAAGAAAAGATACAGGAATAGTATGAGGGAGCTTCAGAAAGTTCGTGGAAAATTTCCACTAACTCTTTTTCAGAAACTTTCAAAAGCCCGTTTATATTCTTGATTTATGTTTCATTCTTTATCAGCTAATTAGGTTTTAAAAGGCCTGATAACTCTCAGTCTAGTACACATAGTGTTAGACATTTGGGCATGAACCCTCGAGGAAGATGAGCAAACTGTGGGCGCTTCCTCTGGCTTTGCCTCTACAGACTATGGCAGAAATACTACCGGAAGCTCACAAGGGGTTCCTCAATGGGGCTCTGACACCTCAACTTAAGGAGTTGCTCAATGTCAGCTGTAGCACAGTCTAGCTGGCTTGCTTTGAGGTCATGGTTGGGGCGTTTCTGCTCCTCAGAAAAGATAAGGGAAACACCTTCTCAGGGATGGCTGTCAGATGTCTGTGTCTGTGCTCTAACCAAGATAACTGAACTCTACTCTAGTGATGCCACGAACCTGCTGCTTTCTGAGTTGATTCTGAACACTGTCAGAGCTTGAAGTCCAGACATAAATGGTGTAGGCCACCTTCTGAACACAATTAACTTGGCTCTGCTTAGAGAACTCCAATCAATAGTATGGCAGGCAATAAAAGCTGGCTTCAAAATGCTTCAAAGCTCTTCTCCTAGCCTTTTCTCCTAGGTGATTCTTCCCAGGACACATAATAACCTTGAGCTCTAAAGCACAGACTGATGATCCCACTTTTCTTGGAGTGTTACTCCGATTACTTAGAGGAATACTCATGATAGGTGTCTGAGTTCTTCGAGAAGACTCTGAAGCTAGCTTAACATACCACCTAGTGTTCTGAGCAGGAAGAAAGAAAGCAGAGGTTCACCCAACTCCAGTTTCTCACAACACTGCTGAGAGCTCTGAAACCCACATCTAAAGCTTCATCCCCAGGAAACTACATCTAAAGCTTCATATCCCCAGGACTTGCAAGGCAAGAAGTCAGCTAGCCCTTCCCATAACCAAACCCTCCCCGGAGCCTGCAGAACTGTGAACACTGAGTCACCAACAGTGACCTGGGGCTTGAGAGAAGATGGTCCAACAGACACTTACTAATAAGCTCTTTAGGTTTAAGGAACGTTCCTTCTTGAGGATGACCAGTGCAGCCAGGCCACAGAAAGTATAGCCACCATGAGCTTCCATCCCTGGCACCCCGCCAATTCCACCTTCCCAATTCTGGCACCTACAAGAGGATGAAAAAAGCAGAGTGAGTGGAAGGTCTACACTAATCAGCAGTTGGGCTGAATGAATGAGCACAAGTGAAGCATCATCCTGGCTACCAAGGACTGAGTTTATTCAGATAGGCGCATCAGCGGTCAAACTATGGAAGGAAAGATGCTAATTAATTCACGTTCAGCGTTGTCTTTCCCTCCCCTAAAACAGAAGCTTAAAAACAAAAAAACAAAAAAATCCACGTAAGAAACACAGTTCCTCAAATTATTACGCTTTGGAAAAAGTTATAAAACTACACATATTGTATGATAACCATCAAGTTAAAAAATAAACAATGAAAAATAATCATTAATTCTGGTAATCTCTGCATGCAGGTCTACTTGTGATATTTTCCCTTTTAATTTTTCTGTTTCCAAGAAAATCCAATACATCCTTTGCCATGTGACCAGAAGAACTGGATGGTACATGGCTACTATTACCAAACAATTTGATCAAAGATTCCAAAGGAACTCTGATCAAAAGGGGAAAATATGAATAGAATTTCAAATTCTCCCTGACTCTAGACTTTCTGGAGCCATGAATGGTAGATAACCCCCTGAAACTACTGTCCTGAGATAACATTTAAACCACCACCAAAAAATAGCTCCTCAAGTCTTCTTAAAAATGGACAAACTTTAACTCACCTAGATAAACAGGTCTGCCTTGAGCATTATGCTCTCTTAAGAACAATCTATAGGAGGACTCCTGGTGTGGTGCTGTGGGTTAATGTGTCAGACTGCAAAGGCATTTGAAACTGCAAGGTTGGCAGTTCAAGCTCAGCAGCAGCTCCTCAGAAACCCTATACAGGGTTGTTAGGAGTCAGAATCGACTAGACGGCACTTAACAACAGCAAAAAATATGGGATGGAACTGATAACAGCAACTGGAAAGATTACAGAGCAACCTCAGGGGCAATGAGTTTATGTTAACAAGGGAAAGAAAACTCAGAAATGGAAGGTGAGAAGGGATGCACAACTTGAAGACTGTAATCAATGTCACCGAATTAAACATAGAAAAACTGTGGGATTGGTATTCTGCTATGTTTATAGCAAAGAAGTCAGCTAGCCCTTCCCATAGCCAAACCCTGAACGAAGTCTGCAGGACTTGGAACACTGAGTCACCCACAGACACTTATTAATAAGATCTTTAGATTTAAGGAACGTTCCTTCTTGTTGTTGTTGTTGTCAGGTGCCATCGAGTCAGAACCAACTCATAGCGACCCCTTGCACAGCAGAACGAAACAATGTTTGATCCTGGGCCAACCTCACTACCGCTGCCACACTTGAGTCCATCAATGATGCCACCTGGCTGATCCATCTCATTGGGGGTCTTCCTCTTTTTCTCTGAC